CATCAGTAGTTTACCTTGCACACGCTTGACCACCTGTGTGCGTACGATAACGTCGCTGATTTCTGGTCATGGCTGAACTGTTAGGTAGCAGCGTCAGCATTTTTGGTAAGTCATTACCGGCCACCAATTGAAGGAAGCGAAAAGCTTGATGATACCGAAATTCGATTGCCATGTTGATTCATGCGAGACAAGTGTAATAAAAGAAGCGAGTCTGTCACTTGGGCTGGGCTGAGACTCCCAACTCCGCTATGACGGTACCACACATGTACCTAATTTACACCCCGGTAATTGAGGCCCCCAGCAATCCCTGTCGTCTATGCCGTTTTGGTGTAAAGACCCGACCAGTTCCAAACTGTCGGGACAGTCTGTGGGGTCTGTGAAATTGGTTGGAGTTGTGAGACTTGTGTCCGTGCCTACTCCGTTCTTTGTGACTGAAGGCATTTCTACTAAGGTACTGTACGTTGGTAGGTAGTCAAGCCCAAGCATATTGGTACACCATGACGTCCTAAACCTTTCGCCCATATATATATGGAGGTTTTTTTTTATGAGGTAAATAGGGATCCATAGTCCGTATGTCAATCGCAGTCACTCCAGATATGAGTTTCAGTGCCACACCAATAGGCATACTAGTATGCCTCTAAACATGCCGCCAGAACAACCTCCCCAAAGACTACACAAAACAATGAGCCCCTTGCCTGTCCTCGGGGGGGCAAGAAAACAGCGAGCCTTACTGTAGGGTGTCGAAATAAACTTAGCAAAAGTCATCCTAAACTTAGGCTATATTACCTCAAGTCTTTTTGTCATTTAGGATCAAGGTCCTGTGTTTCCTTTCCTCCCCTAGCCTGTAGTCTATATCATAATACTATTGAGCTAAGACTCGTCTGCACCGACCAGACGATCCTTCGTTCAACACCGACGCAAGAAGACGCCGAACAGACGAAAGATATCCCGCTAGGTTTCAACATACAACCCTATTGGACAACCCGAACCAACAACATAGCACCCCCTCAACACCCATTAAAAGCTACCACCACACGCCGTCTCGTAGCTGCAGATTGTCTGTGGTCCCAGCCCCGGGGCCGACCCTAGACTGAGTCCGCCCTCTCACCTCACCTCACTTGCCTTGCCTACCTCTCACCCTCGCTGCCCACCCGCCCTCTTAGCACAATCCCACCGCTACGGACCAACAGCATAAGCCTAGCCCTGCATAGGTTAGGCGTGACCCACTTGACATGGTTGTTTTGTACAATACTCGCTCTATGTACGTCTAAGCAAAACACGGCTTGTTTTGGAAGTGGTGAGGTTGACTACCAACATACATGAATCCTTCCACCTCGACCTTTTACTTCGCCCGGTTCGAAATACCCGTTTTGTTGAGCCGATGACGGCGGAAGCTTGTGCTGTCGTTCTCTTGCCAAGCTTATTATGCTGACATCTTGTATCATCTGATGATTATATTGACTCACTCAGCTTCAACTTCTGCAGGCATGGTTGAGGACAAGCAATCAAGCTGCTTTCATCAAGTGCACACAACACGAATTCCATAAGCTACCCATGTTATTATTTCTATACCACTTGGCTTATTGACTTGGAAGCAGGGATCATTGGCCCCAATCGTAAACAGAAGCTGCCGTAAGATAACCTGATACGGTCCAGTCTGTTGGCCGCGCTGCGGCATCTGCAACCTCGAGTTTTCTTCACCGCATAAACACATGACCCGTGACCGTCTTCATAAATCCTTGCTGTTGCAATCAACCCAATAGCTTAGTCCTCCATTGGCTTTGTTTTGATGTTGTTTCCCGACACCACGCCGCCGATCTGGTCGCAAGGTCCAAAGCCACGTCGCTTTCCAAGCGAGTCGGTCTGTCTGAGTTCACCACTCGTATTCGCCAGTAGCCTTGTGGAAGACATACTCCTTGCCGTTGACGGTCAAAACTCCATCCTTAAGAGTACACTTCCTATAGTTGCGGTTAGTAAATGAAACAAAATTACTCAAACTCATGCTGGAGTTGACACTGGAACGCACCACTTGTTCTTAACGCGCTGAACCTTATCATACATGCATAGCATGATATTGCCAAGCCCCTCATCATCAACATCATCGTCGTCTCGGTCCTCTTCTGGGTCATCAAGGTCAGAGTTGATGGCATCTTCATCATCTTCGTCGTCATCATCACCTCCATCGTATGTGGCAGGTTGTTTGCCCTTGACCACGCGTGATGTCGGGGCTGACGAAGTTCGGGTTGCCTCTTTCAAAGGAAGCATCAGACCGCCGCCCTCCATGCTCTTGGCCTTGGCAAGGATTTGTTCATGCAGCATACGGTCGATCTCAACTCGCCCGAGTTCATGCAAATTGCCATCAGCAGCTCGTTGCATTAGCACACCCTCAAAGTCTTCCAGATCGCCTGTACCATCAGTCTGGCCGTTTTGAATGTGGGGCTGGCCGTTGGCCGGGTGTTGCTGTTGCTGTTGGGCAGTTGCGGCGGCCATTTGCTGACGATACATCTGCTGCTGGTGTTGTTGCTGGGTCAGACCGGGTTGTTGCTGCTGATGTGGCTGCGGTAGAGCTGGTTGTTGTTGCTGTTGTTGCTGGTTCTGCTGAGAGTGGCCTTGTTGCTGATGAAGGGCGTTGATAGAGCTGGCCGCTCGCTGCCCATACTGAGCCTGCAATTGCTGAGCAGCACGATTGGCAGCTACATTGTTGTCATTCATGTTGACATTGGTGTTGTTGTTGTACTGTTGGTAGGCCATCGGGTTACCCTGCAAGCCGGGTTCTTGCTTGATAGGTACGTGAGGCTCGGTCTTGATGTTGTTGCCTTCAGGCTTGATACCATTCTGCACCTGGGGTTGGGCCATTCCCGGTAAAGAAAGGCCAGTTGGGTTGCTTAGCTGAGGCGAGAATTGAGCCTGAGCATGAGTTTGAGCTGGTGGAACAGCAGGCGGCGGAGCTTGTGCGGGGGGGTCGGGCTTGGGATCCCAAGGGAACTGAGCGACATGAAGCTGGGTGAGCTTTTGCTGCCATCCCTGATTTTGGAGCCTTGTTAGCCATTTCCTACATCAAGTATCCATCGAACAAAAGAATCAAAATCGGGTTAATCATGGCACGAGTTCATCAACCGCCTGTGTGCTTAAGCCGCATGCCTCAGCTCACTGGTGAAGCAGTGGAAGAACAGGCTCAGTTAGAGACGAGATGTGCAAAACACAGTAAGTTTGGATTTGATAAGCAAAATGGAAGAGAACAGGCAGCCAAATTGGTGAGTGGGCAAAAGGCGGCAGTGCAAGTGTAAGACAGGTGTGCTGTGGTGGTGATAGGATGATTTGGCGTGTACAAGTGGATATGAGATGATGGAGGGGCAGAGTATAGTTCGAGTAAGCCAATCAGAAAGCGGCGGGTGTCGGCGGAAGGAGTCACAAGGTAAGTGGCAGTCGCAGCAGGGGCTATGGGCTTAAAAGACCCAAATAGTGCTGTGTCGCCCCCTCCCCCTCCCCGTAACCCGCCAACTCCCTCTGCCCCCCTTCGCCATGCCGCCTGCGATGCGCTCCGCTTCGACCATGAGTCGATCTTCAGCTCCAGAGGCCAACTCGAAAGAGAGTGCTGCTACCTGAAAGAACCTGCCGTCTTTGGTCTCGCCATATTCGTGGAGTATCATAATGTGCGGAGTTGAAACACATCGACACTCGTCTTTGTTGATGACACAGGCTTCTGTCACCCTTTCCTTGGTGATTCCCGAGAATCAACGAGAATTGCAGGCAAAACATGAAACTCGACGAAAAGTGTATCTCTTACCTGTCGCAGCTCTTCTAGCACTGATTCTTCAACACCGCTCTCCTCGAAATCAACTCGCGAACTATTGACAACCTCGTCAATGATGGCTTGGTAGACGTTTCCGACGGCCGGGTTCGACATGATGATGTTGTGGTTGTATTCCGGTCGGTGGGTTTGATTAGGATACTGAGAATGAAGAGTTGGATCCTCGGTTGATGAGTCGCTGAGATGGCGTCGTCAAGCAGATGCCCCCCGATGGCAGTTCTCTATACACGGATGACCTTGGCTTTGGCGAACGAACGCAAGGTGCAGCTCGCGATCAGCAGCGCAAACCTGTTCTTCAGAAGAGTCCTGAAAAGGGCCTATTGAGGAAGAGATGTTGCAGTGCGGATGTTGTTGCTGAGGTGCTTGGGAAATGCGCTTGATGTAAATTCGGCACTTAGCCACGGCGATGTGATGCGCTTAGCTTGGGGAGACTCTTCAACAATGAAAGAATTGATATCAACTGCAACGCGAAGCGAAGACGCTTCCAACGAAGTATCAGAAAAAGCAAGAGACAAATCAATATCAATTAATTTACTGCGTCACACGGATGCAAAATACCGAAGAGGGTCTTGTGCCAGGTCGGGGTGTTGTGCGGCTTTGTGATGTGATGTGCAGTGGGGAGAGTTGGTAGCCTCTGGGAGATTTCTGTTTCATCAACTGCTAGCTAGGCTGACTCAGCACTCCAAATCCTAGCGGCCACTGGGCTCTCCAGTCCACTGAGAGGCTCCGCTCACAGGGCTGATTGAGAATGAATGTGACCTAGGGACCTCACTGCGACCCATCTCTCTATTATTGTAACATCTCAGATGATATCAAACTCGTAGGTAAGTAGGCCTCGGGGTGGAAGTGCATTGGAATAATTGTGACATAAGATCCATGCTACGTAATTTTAGGCTTTACCTACTACCTACCCAAGTGAAGCTGGCCTAAGAATTCTTGCACTTGTGGAGATGTCTCCTTCACTCCAGCAACATCCTTGGTGAGCTTTGGTGTCGAATGCAAACCGCACCGAGATATCAGGAGTGCCATGCAACATGCATCATTCACCCGACCTCATATTCACTATTTCCTCCATGCTTAGAAACAAAAAGATGTCCTGTCGCTTCTTTACTCAATGAATCATTCGTCTGTTTTTCATACTCATTTATGTGTTGTGTATCTATCTTGACATCCATCCTCAACAGAGACTTCATGCCACCAGCCGTCTCAGGGGGTGCGCCTCAGTATTAAATACATATTCATCCAGGCTGATCAGCTCCGGGTCACTAAAAATGAGATAGAAGTACTTGAGAGTTTCACCCATCCAGAAGGACTCCATTGAGTCCACGGCGCGGGGTTTCTCCTCTGTGACGGTAACATCCCATACAGCTGTATTGGCCAGCTCTGTCTTGGTCACTTCTTCAATCGATTTGAACATGGTCCAGGCGTGCTCGGTATACTCGTTCTCGCCGGTGACACGGTACATCATGAAAACACTCTCAATGGCCTCTGGCCGCAGGATATATCGGCGATCAGGAATATGAGTAAACCCACCGGGAAGATGCTCGTCTTTGATAATGGCATCCGCCTGTGCTGTCTCGCCCTCTTTGATCTTTGCCTGCTTTAGGACACCTTCTTTCCACAGCTTTTCGTCCCATGGGCAATGCTCCTTGGAGTCACAGGGAACCATGTAGAAGGTCTCAGGCATGATGCCATGAGGAAATGCTTCATAGGTGTAGATGCAGCCATTGGTAAGCTTGGCTGCAGCTTCGACGTCCTGCTGGCGGTTGAAGAGTCGCCCACCTAATGCCAGCATGCCTCCGAGGAAACAGACTAGATGCTGTCCCTGGCTCTCAAGTTCCAACTGTGTCTTTCCACCTTTGTCTTTGGCATGAATTTGTCCCGATATGAGAATATCCTTGTTCTCGGGCGTCATCGGTCGAAACAAATTGTGTTCCAATGCTGCATCCACGGCCTTTTCATACATGGTCTGATAAACAGGCAGTTGCCCACCTGTTAGTGCAGCCATCTTGGGCAAGTATTCGTACACGCTGTCAGCCATTGCACCAAGGGTGAAAACGGATCCTTGGTTAAAGATCTGGCTCTTTGCATCCACAATGAGAGGCCACTGTCCAGGGAGCATAGTCGAATCTTGCTGTGCTGCCAGGAGATCCATGATAGTTTGCGAGGCGTCAAACCACTTAGGATCTCCCGTGAGTTGCGAGAGGCGTGTAAGCTCCATACACAAGCTTCCAATCTCTGCAACAAGGACACCGGCGCCGGCAATCTGATTCTTGCCCTCCCCGGCAGCGTGAAAATTCCAACGCAAGACAGGCATGTGGTTGGGTGTGTCGAAAGCTTTGTAAATCATTTCACCAACCTGGGCTGCCTTACGAAGCAAACGCATATCCTCGCTAAGCTCAAAGGCAGCGAGAAAGCCACCGAGATAACGGATAGTAGTCTCGAATATATTGACTTCTTTGAGGTCTGTGGCTGTGAAGTCAATCTGGTCGACTACATCCACGGCTTCGTAGAACTCTTGGTGCATATCCATGATCCAAAGGGTATCGAGGGAGTCAACAAGGGTAGCAGCCCAGCCGCCGAATGGATTTGCCTGGCCAGCCGAGACGGGACTGAGCTCGTCTGCCATCCAGGCATGTTTTCTGTAAGAATTCCAACATCTTGTGAAGGTCGCCTTGACAGCTTGTTGACGCTCGCGTCGCAGTTCAGCAGTACTAATGGAGAATTCAGGGAACGTGGCTTGGACCTTGGGATAGGTGACAGGAGGAGAAGTGGGCAGCGGCTGGAAGGCGGAGTGAGGATAATTGACTTTGACAGTGTTCCAGTAATAGTTGTCATCCTGGTCCTGCCTCCACAGCGAAGTCTTTACGGGCCAGCCGTGCTTCTGGTTGTGGTTGTAAGGGCCGTGTCCATATCGGGGTCCAACGTATTCAGGGGTCCTACCAGCCCAATAGCAGAAGAGGAACACTGTCAACAGGCCGCAAACTAAAACGAGACCTCGACTGCGGATGAGCATGGTAGAAATATGGGCCCGTACCGCGTTGAGCGTCGAAAGGAACAGTGAAAGAGGGTTTCGAGATGTTGCAAAGAGAATTGTCTCTCTCCTCTTTCTTTGGTGAGGTAAGGGAGAGGTAGAGATACCTGAGGGAAACTAATCTTATCCGAGGGTCTTTGTCTGACCTTATCTTTGATTTGACGCGCTGAGGTTGGTAATAAAACAGCTTGGCATTTGTACCATGCAATTTGCCCCGCCAAGCAATGGCGGTATGTATCTTATACCTTGATTCAGGTAGAGGGTACATTGCTTTAGCTCGGCGAAATTCGACCAAATGTGAGCAACACTACCAACAGGACCAACACACAGTTAAGTTGTCTCCGAACACTGTACACACCTGCGCTGAAAACGCTTCTAAATACAGTGTCGATTGTGTAAGCGCCCGATAAACATCATCCACAAAATCAACTGCCCAAGAATGAAACTGGTTCAGCAAACCATATGATACTCTTATTGAAATTCCCTCCACTACAAGGCTGTCAAATACTTTTCTGAGGAGTGGGTTCTGTTGCTCTACTTCTGCCGTGGTTAAAATGTGACTCTGCTGTTCCTTGCAGGATCTTTTGTCGTTTTTTTCTTCACATTTTTTCAAAGTGAGACATGTCAAATTCTTTCTTCATCCGGTAGTTATTGTTTCCCCTCAGGACCTTTTTTTTTTGATGGAACCGGAGACATGTGTTCATCCTCGGCAGTGAGAGCACGGAGCTTAACAGCCCTTGTTCGGGTAGCACAATCCTTCGATCTGCATGACACCCATCGGAGCAAACAAAGAAGAGCTTAACAGGGGGGGTGGCTATGTGAGCCGCAGTACATACTATGTATAAGACCGACTTGGTGGAGGAACTTGTGAACCCTTGGCCATCTACCTTCCGGGACCCAAGGGTTAGGAAATAGATGGCAGAATCTCTTCCATGAATTGTACACATTCTAGGCCTAAGGCTTCAAGGCATAAGCTACACGATAATGGTCCTAATATTTGTCATGAACATGTAATGTGGTGAGCAAGAAGCTTCAGGCTAGTTGCATTTCATTGTAAAGGTATATTCTCCGTCGTTCTCTTGCACTGTATACAAATGAGCCCTTGCATTACTTGGCCCTGTAAAGCTGGAAATAATTCTTGTCAACTGGCACGACCAAGTACACCAGCTCGAGAATGAATAACAGCGTCTGAGATGGCCTTAAGTTGCTGATTCGTCATGCCATCTTCAGCTACCTTACGTAGATATGCCGGACTCGACTTCGTAGAAACCAGCCGTAGAGCAGGCCATTCTGTGGCAGTCACTTCATTATGACCCAGAAGTTGTTCAAAACTGCTAAGTCTGTTTCGTCTGACATTCAAGCAGATGTTCTTTCAGCACTTAATACTTTCACTACTTGGTTTGAGATAACCAAATGTCTCTAGATTATTACTTCTACGTCTCTACAATAACTAGAGTGTATGCCGAACTCTTAGCTACCAGCCTTTATTTGGTTGATTAATTTGTGACAATATGGGTTGAACTGTCCAGCCAGATTTGACTACAAGTAAGCTTTGATCAAAAGTACCAAAGAATACAGTACCTACCTATAGCGAACTAGTATTAGATGCGTAGGTCGATTTGATCCCAAACCTGCCGCTTGGACCCTATTCAAGATACACGCTTGCTGGCCGGATCCTTGTTTGACGTCCCCCATCTCACTATTTCAGGTAAGGTACTCCGTATACTTGTTTGGATGAGCTACAGCATGGACCTGCCCGTATAAACCATAATGGTGCCGCTTGGGACAAGCCATTGGTGGTGTATGAGGCGTCTCGCTATTCAGAAATATAGAGATAATAAAGCATAAAAGGTGCCCACAAAGAAACAAATTTGGAACTAAAGACCCCACGGCTACGACAGTTCTCAATGATTACCAGTAAGATAGAGATTACAAAATGATTCTCGTGAGCAATAAGAAAGAAATCACTCGACTAATCCTACATATTCGGCAAGTTGCCGTAAGCATAATCTACCGTTTCGTAGCCAGCCGGTGATTAGTGAGAATTTGGAAGAATCTCAACGGCTAGTCAGAAGGAGAGACTTTGCAGGTGCTGTAACAAGAAAGGCAACCAAGTCACTTATTACTAGTTAAGATAACTGTATGAGAGGAGGGTTGACTGGATCCGTGGTGTTGACTTATTCCTTGCCTGTTAACTTGATCTTATATATGAACTCACATCAACAGGGCCGTAAGGGGCTACAAGGGGGGGTTCAATGGTAAGACACTCAGCCATAGTGGGCGCCGAGGTGCTTACTATCACATGATCAAATCGGCCTTGCAGTACGGAGTACAATGACGGTCAAAAGAGTATCTGACGTTCAACGAGTTTAAATAATGCTCATGGCATTTTAATTTCATTTTAATTCCAATTCCTACCCCATCTCATGCATAAAATCAGATCCCAAACGCCTACAATTATAACAGAAAGTCCACCGTCAAGGCGACTTCATACTCAGAACTTCCAAGAGCGTTGTGATGCAATGTTGCGTCTATCGTAATTTCATGACCATTCCGTTTCATTCGTCTCTGCGTGGAGAAGCACTTTCATACCACGAGCAGAAGGGCAGGCGGACACCCCAACTCCGTGCTTCAAATACAGAGACCCAGATACTAGTGAAAGGTCATACCTACCGTGGTCCAGTGGGTACTGGCACTTATCGGATGGTCATCTGCTTGGCCATGGAGGCCTTGCTCGACGCGCCAGAGGCACCAATGCCAGCGGTGGCACCAGCCTTCTTCTCGAAGATCTTCCAGAACTTGAGACTCTCGTCGGCAGCTAGGGGTTTGTTAGCATACTGCTGGTTAAGGTCTGAGCATGTGAACTTACCAGCTGTTGCAAGCATCTGGCCGTCAGGGCTCAGGCAGCTGTGGAGGACTCGGCTCTCGTGGGCGGGGATCTCAACGGTACGGACAAGGGTGGGGTAACTCCAGATGCTCAGAGAGTTGTCGGGGAAACCGCTTGAGCTGACGATCTCGCGGTGGTGGGGGCTCCAGCGAAGAGAAGTAACCTGAGAACCAGTGTCGATGCTGTTGACGCGAGCACCGGAGGTGGAATTCCAGAAGTGAATGTGACGGTCGTAAGAGCCACCACCAGTAGCAAGGAGGTTCATGTTCCAAGGGCACCAAGAGAGGGCCTTGACAGCGGCCTTGTGGTTGGTCTTGGTGAACTTGGGAACGGACAGAGATCGGGCATCCCAGATGGAGACGAGGTTGTCGTTGCCACCAGTAGCGAGCTGTGCGCCATCAGAGCGCCACTCAAGGCCGCAAACCTCGGATGTGTGGGAGACGAGCTCAGCAACCTTGTGCTCGGCAATGCGAACGTCGTGGTTGTAGACAAGACCGCTACGAGCACCAGTAGAGAGAAGGTGCTTGTTCCATCCCATGACACCAACACGTGTATCATGGCCGAACATGCTTCGAATCTTCTGGCCCTCTGCGACGTCCCAGATCTGGACCTCACCAGTTCCCATACCAACACTGACATAGGCGCCATCACCAGACCACTTGACGCTGCTGACATATGTGTCAGGAGTGGTCTCGAGGAGACAGCTAACACTGCCTTCATCGGCAGACCAGACGTAGACATTGCGCTCAAGACCGATAGCGACCTGGTTACCCGAGCTCCAGTCGAGAAGGTTGAGGTAGTAGTCGTCAACGAGGCCAGGAGCATCAAGGACACGCTCAGGGGCAGTAGCAATGCGGCGGCGGAGCTGGGCGGAGCTGGAAGTAGTAGACTTGAGGGGGCGGTTGTACTGTTGTCGCAGGTCAATTGGCTTGGAAGACTCGGGGGCAGCGGGCTTGAACTCGAGGATGCGAGTGTTTAGGCTGACACCACAAGCGTTGGCAAGAGAATCTTGGTAAGCCACGGTGTTAGGGGAGGGTCGAGAATAGTTGTCAGGCTCATCATCGTTGATGTTGAGGCTCTCAAGAGCAGCCAGGGCTTCGTCAGCAGCAGTAGAAAGAACAGTAGAGCTCTCGGAGCTGCTGCTCTTAGGTCGTTGCCTATCGGCGAGATCGAGCTTGCCAGACCCAGCGTTGGAAATGGCAGAGCTTGCGCCACGGTTGGGGATAAATCGGTCGCCACCATAGTTCAGAGTAGTCTTAGCAGTCTTGGAGCGGAGGCTCTTCTTGGACTTTGTGCTTGAAGGGGTCTTGGTGGTGTTGCCAGTGCCAGTGAGGGTAAAATCAGAGACACCAAGCTCAAGAGCCTTCCGGGGAGTCTGAACACCACGGGCGATGTTGGACTTGGGGGAGTCACGGTGAGAGGACTTTGTAGTAGATCGAGCAAGGTGAGACATGAGGTTTCCGCCATATGTCGAGCGCCCGGATGGTCTGAACTCGTTGCTGGACTGTCTTTCGGGGGTAAATGGGGAAGAGTTCAGGTTGACAGGGACGTTCGTGGTGGATGACTGTTGGCGGGGAGAGGGAGTCAAAGGCATGCGCCCACCAGCGGTGCGGGCCGAGAAAAGTCCCTTATGGGACTTGACAGGCGTCGACAATGCTACAGAAGCCATTATGAATTTTGGGATATGATGACCTGTGTATCAAACAAGGTAGAGATAGTCGAAGAGAGTGTAAGTGGAGCTCTAGACGAGTGACCAAAGCTGGATTGTATATCGAGCCTTGATGCTATCGAATGAGGTCCAATGAGGGGCTCCTAGTAGTTAGTATACCTGTACTGAGATCAATGATCGATAAAAATCGAGGCTGTCTTCACAAAGATATAACGAAGTTGGGGGGCGATCAAATAGCCTTGGCGATAGGATCTAGCAAGCTTTGAAATTTCTTGTAAGAAGCGTTGAGACAGAGGTTCGCAAAAGAGCACGAGGCTATAGCGAAGAATCAAAGGGTTTGAGGAGGGGAGCGAGTTGTAGATGGTGATCATGAGGAGAGAATCATTCCCAAGCTGCAGCTCATGACGGTTACCTTTTATTTACTTATGCCCCTCCGAGCTTCTGGCCGGGCAACCACTAAGCCAGTAGTCGGACCTGAGTTGCTCCCGTTCCGCGACCCTGCCAACGTAGACGAGCCAATTAGATTACGAGACCACAACGCCTCATCAGCCTCATCCTTGCCTGGCGCGATGACCAAATTTCTCTTAGTAGACGCGGCTCCAAAAGAGCAGGGGGACATTTTCTCTTTGCCTGTTGCATCACCGGCCGCATTTAACACCATCCACTCTCACATCCACTTTCTTCACCGACCCGACGGACGGCTCAACCTCGAGGACGTAGGTGACTTGTTCATTGTACTCGCTTCTTGTGCTCAGCCTTTGTCCCTCCTTTTCTCCGACCACCCAGTTTCAACGGCAGCACGACGTTGTGAGATGTGCAGCCAACGCCACTGATCGGTCGTCGAATTTACAATTTAAGCCATGGCTCAACCTTCAACCCCCGGACAATCTATCTTTGGCGGGCCTACCCCTGTCGTCGGAACAACGCAGGCCTTGGGCGCTGTCAACCAGACTTCGTCGACCTCGAATTCGCTGCAACCGACGCCGACGCCGCCTTCGGCCACTTCGTCGTCTAACAATACCTACATCATGCCCAATTCCCCTGCAAAGGGTCGCAGCGTCGCCGATGGATACCGACCCAAAGTCACCCGCACGCTAGGCCAGAGACCCGCTTGCCTAGTAAATGCTTCAGTGACGTATTGTGGGAATAATCAAATATATGCTTTTGGAGGGTTCGACCAGTATACCGATGAGGTTTATAATCACGTGCTGAGGCTGGACCTCGTCAGCCATCAATGGAGTCTTGTCGACAACTATGGTGATATTCCAGGAGTTCGGATGGGTGAGCTACGCAGAAAACCGCCGCGTTACCGATGCTAATATTGTCCAGGACACACTGCGACTTTGTATCAGGGAAACAAACTCTTAGTCTTTGGCGGCGAGAACGAGCATCGAACGTACCTCTCGGACCTTATTGTCTTTGACCTCAAGACTGCCCACTGGACTCAGCCACAAGTCTCGGGCCCGATCCCGAAAGGTAGAGCGAGACATGCTGCTGTCTTACACGAGGACAAGCTCTTCATCATTGGTGGCATAACTGGTCAGAACAACTATGTGTTGGATGACATTTGCTACCTCGATTTGAAAACCTTTACCTGGTCTAAGTCTTGGCGTTTTGTTGGTCGTTTCGACCACTCAGCTTACATCTGGGGCGACCGAGTCTGGGTATTTGGAGGTTTGAGTGAGGACATGGATAAGATCAGCGATCTGTGGTGGTTAGATCTGAAAGGAAATCCGCAATTTGATTCTCGACCTCAAATAGGCATCTTCGATCGAGGTTCTCTGTCTACTCGAGCTAGTAGCTCTCCCCGACCTCCATACACCATGTCCCAGGCTCCTGTCGTAGGGGCTTCTGGCTACGCCGCCAATTCTCGCACAGCCCAGGTCAACCCGCCGTCAATTCAAATGAAGACATACGCGCCTGTGGCCCCGGGGTCTATATCTGCTCTCAAATTCATGTCTGGTCCCTCGATTCCCTCTCAGGGCTCGGGTCTTCACTTTCATGCCTACTCTTCGGGTACTCTTCTTGATTTTGTCACACCTGCGGCGACTCTCACATCGAGAGAGTGTTCTTTGTCAGCCCTGGACCTTGGTACGCTTCGCTGGACGAAGCTTGCTGGAGGGCGGGAGATCTTCAAAGCGGGTTACAGGTGGCATTACTGCTGTATGAATGAGGATGGCACCAAATCCTGGTTACTAGGATGCCCAACTGACCCTGCTCCGGGCGACATAGGGCCTAATGGCTATGAAGAATATCTTAGGTAGGCCGGTTCTATCTCCAAACCTGATGCCATGGCTGACATGACATAATTTGACAGCGATATTATGGAAATTGACCTGCGACGATATGGCTTTCTGGGTGACAATTTGACACCAGAACCAAGGGTAGAGTCAAGGCCATCTGCAATGACAAGAGCCGTGGATCAACCTTCTAAAGGATTGGGTTCAGATCTAGCGAAGCTCTTCAACCAGCCACCCGAGACAGGCAGCGGAACTGATTTTGTCGTTACTGCGCTGGCTGGTGATTACGAGGACGACGAGGCTCTCAGCTCCGGTCTGATTCGAAATGATGAGACAACACCGCGAAACGAGAGCTGGCTCTCAGCAGACGCGCCGACCTCACAACCCATTCATGTTCACAAGCTCATTCTCCAAGCGCGTTGGCCACACTTTGCGCGTCTTTACAACGCCCAGATGGCTGAGTTTCACACCAAAAAGATGCATATCCCCGAGCCTTACAGTGTAGTCAAGGCCTTTCTCTACTACCTATACACAGATAGCATCCGTGGTACCTCAGACAACGATAGTGACGCAACCACGGCGCTCTCTGATGTGGCCGGCCTTCTGGTAATGTCCAATATCTACAATATCCCTCATCTTCGCCTGCTCTGTGTCAATAGACTTGCCAAAGAACTCGATGTCGACCATGCTTGTATCATATGGTACTGTGCAGGGCTCGCTAATGAAGAGTGGCTGCGCAAACGTGCCGCAGGATTCTGCATGACCCACTGGGGCCGTATTGTCCGGACCCAGGGCTTCCTTCGTTTGCCGCGCACTGCACTCGTCGAGCTTTCACAAGAAATCGACATGGAAGGACGTATCATCGGCGGAGAAGAACTCGAATGGGGCGGCATGAACGATAGCATGGGACACGATGCTCGTAAGGGGAGCATAAGCAGTAACCAAACCCATATGATCGAGTCTGAAGCCGATGACGACGATGGCATGGAGATGACATGAAAAACTCGCATGTACAATTGCTGTTGTCCTGGTGACTGGCCCAAGGTTTCTTACCCTGTGTCCTGTAAACCTCAGCAACTTGTTCATATCGCAAAGTCGCCGATTTGCTCGATGCCATCCGGAATCGGCACCCTCTTTCTGGCCCTGATCAAGTCCACCTGGCTTTTCTACTTCGCATTCGGCTGCAGGATGGCCGGTAAGAAGCATAGTGACGCTTCGGGAAATGTTCCGCAGATATAGGGCCGCCCATAATGCATCTGCATCGTGCAATGCCTATATTATAGAGTTTCTGTCCATTGTGGTGTGAACGACTGTTGCTTGCTATTATTTGTTCAAGTTGGCTTCTCACGCATTGCGAGGCGTTTTGTATCTGCACAGCGAACAACTATAAGCTATGGTCTTGTAAAATCAGATAGATCTGTCAAATACACGATACCCCTTATCCCTGTTTGCTCTGTCTGATCTCGTCTCATAGATTTGTCTCCCCTTGGGGAGCAAGAAAACAGCAGATCTTAATAGAGGCTGTCAAAATAAACTCGGCAAAGGGTATCCTAAACTCGGGCTAAACTTATGCTATGTTACCTGAGTCTTTTTGTCATTTAGGATCAAGGTCCTGACCTCCCATAGTCTCCCAGGCAGGCCCTCGCAACCCCTTCCAGAAATCTAGAGCGTGGCAACCATATTCGGTGTCTACTCACTACGTTTAGCGGGTTCAACCGATGGGTGGTTCTCATTTCAATATGGGCCGTGATGCTGATGTTTGAGAACAGAATCACTTGTCTGGTCAATGCGCTATTGCAGCCAACAGCAATCAGGATCATTGACTAGCAGCATCTACATGTCCTTGATTTCTTCTACTAAGTTAGTGCTCAGTAACATCTTAATGTTGGTGATGGAATCTCAAACACAATACTATTCACTTAAGGGCAGGCGAAGCTGTCCAGTCTATAACCTCGCTTTTCATTGTTCGACCGACTCCAGCCATCCTCGCTTTTAATATAATGTCAGCACAAGATGATGGCAATTGCTTTACCAACAATAGTCAACTGAACAACAGCAGTAGTCAAAAACAAGTGTGATCATGCATCGCCGTCTCAGACAAAAACAAAACAAAAGGGAAACCTGCCCAAATTTCCAGGGCACCATGCAAATGCCATCTTTCCCAACCTAACATCTAAGGACCCCTTATCAACTTTTAATAAAAATACCAGAAATCAGGAAAAAGATAAAGAAAATAACTCATTTCCACGTGCCAGGCCAGCCAGCATATTAGCAAAGGCGTCTGACTCGAATTGGACATAGAGTATCAATAGATCCAGCTAACGCGTACCCAACCATAAGATTTTCCAAAACCCGGCATGTCCATCTTAAGTGATATAACAGTTGCAGAACCGAGGTCAGACACTGAACTTTTGCGTGCAGTTGGATAGCGGACTTAGAAAAGTGATGTGCCTTTCCCCAGTGGTTGAGAGTTGAGGCCGTCTAATTACGGATCGTTGACGCTGAGGTAGGATGTTGAAAATCCGGGTACAAGACAGAATGCAATGTCCGGGACGGGGGTATTGGCGATAAAGATATACTGATAGTGCATATAAACTCAATATAGTATGCCGGAAAGTGTCGAGAGTTCGTTCTAGCATCGCATGGATTCATCTGGGATCCAAGGCGTCGCTCGGAAATGTAGCAGTTTCACTTCCTGTAGCGCTCTTACTCAAAGTCTTGACATCGTGCAGTACTATTGCATCATTTGATCTTCTCCTATTCCCGGTAAGTTCATGCCTGCTGCAAGAGCCTGAAGCTTGAAGTCAGGATTGCAGGGAAGGGAATGAGCCTTATGCTGTCGGAGAATGTTAGCATGTAATGGAATTGAAAACTAAAATTCCGTGAGCAAACTTACGTATTTCAGTCCATTCAAGTTTTTGTATCGTTTGCCGCATGTTTCACAGCTAAAAGGCTTCTCCTTCTCCATTCCCAATGTTCCGGGGTAAGGGGCACTAGTCTCTGGGTTGACAATAGAAAAGGTACCGTCTCCATTCTCGTGAAGTTGTTGGGTTTGATGGCCATGAGTTTTGTGGTATCTGGAAACAAGTTAGCAAGCAAATTCAGGATCGAGATAAAATCGAACGCCATGGGTCAGAACTTACTTCAAACCGTTCTGGTTTTTGTATGCCTTTTCGCAGCCAATAACTGGACATTTGAACGGTTTGTGCTCTTCAGGCATCATCATGCTCTGTAAACGCTGCATAAGAATCTTATTGGCCTGTGGATCGTTCAACTGGGCTTGGTTAATGCCCAGCTGTTGCAGTTGTGCCTGGATGGAACGGTTGGCAGCAGGGAAAGCACCAGTGGAGCTGAAAAGATGTTTCCCAGGATCGTTTATGCAAAAGTTCGAATCACTATTGTTCTGGTTTCCGCCAAAGCTCATATCGCCAATATCGTTTGTGTTGCCACCCATAGGCATACCTGGTAGGTCTTCCTCCATATCGACTTGCTGGGTATGTGGTACTTGTCCTTGGGTCGTAAGAGTAGGTGTGTTGACGGACGAGACTGTGGGGTTGTTCTGGAGGCCAAAGCTGGCGGCAGCGGGAGTGGGTGGCTGAGAGGTCCGTAGGCCCTGCGTAAGACCAGAGGTGTTCATGTTCAGCTCGGGCCTCTGCTGCTGACCGAAGAGTTGTCTCGTTTGGGTCATTCGCTGGCTATCGTCCATCTCCATTGTGCCAACAGCATCGTCCATTTCCATATCTGCAACAGCATCCATCTCATCATTCAGATTTGACGCAATTGCAGAGCCTCCATGAGCATCATGGGGCGTCTGTTGGCCGCGGTTATGTTGTCCAAGTTGGTTCGTTGCAAGGGAACTGCCGCCTGGCGCGGCCGACCCGGATCGAGACATCGACATCCGAGGGGCGTTAGGCAGCCCCAACTGAGAAAATTGAGAAAAGGCATTATTTCGGGCTGTGTTCGGGCTGGGTTGCGTGTGGGCTTCCTCGTAATGTTGCAGCAAGTCGTGGAGATTAGGCAGGATCTTTCCGCAGCAGGTGAAATCTCGCATGAAGTTGGCCTCCAACTTAGGGAGATAGGAAGACGAGTGAAAGGAAGGAGACTGGTGAGTTCCGAAAGGCGATGTGCCTGCCATCATAATACTATAGGACCACGATGTTAGTAAACCGTAACCTCGAGTGCGATGAAGCATTGGGCATGATCAGTTTCTGACGCATGTGGGCTGTCGCAGTGCAAGAATGGGGCCCGAAGCCTAGAAATGGCTTGCCACAGTACACGATCAGTCGTCTTCGCAAGCGATGACAGTCGCACACAAGTTGAGGTTTCGTGCCATAACCCATTTCGGTTTGATCAAGCGGAACAGGGTTCAGCTCAAAGCAAGCAAAAGAAGCCTGATCGTGACAGAAAGTGACCGCTCGGCCACGGAGCCAAAGCGAGGGCAATGTTTCAAGAACAGCATGATGATGGAGGATAAAAGGATGCAGTAAGGTGACTTACTCGTCTCTAACAAAACTACCAAAAGACATGCCTCCCCAGCTCATGCCACCTCCCATAAGGCTGCCAGCAAGGGACTCTCTTCTATTGCGGTTCGCATTATCACCACGGTTGGGATTGTTCATCGATATGGGCTTAGGGCCAGCGCTGACAAATGAGTCCCGGCGGCCCATAGAAGGGTCGAGGGATGGCCCGGTAGTCATGGTGATTTCGGTGTCCTCAGGAAGTGTATAGTCGAATGGCTGAATGGCAATGTCGCGATTGCTGATGTGAGGGTTAGTATCAGCGATTTGGAACTCTTCGGTGAGGTCGAAGGAAGTGTTGGTGTGAATACAAGGATCAAAGTCGCCGATGGAGAGTTGGGGGGCAGCAGCTTTAGCGGTAGTAATAGTACTCGACAGCACCGAGGCAGCGGCTGGAACAACGGATTTAGAAGCAAAGTTAGCGTGAGCGCCAGGCAGAAAATGGCCCGTGGTAGGGGTCTCGGGCTGGGGCGACGGCGACTGCGTCAGCGAGCTTGAGCCCGAGTTGATGAGCGACCCTGGAGAGTCAGGGTTATCAGCAACGGCGGCGGCGAAGTGGGCATGGGCGCTCGAGTCACAGGCACCGTCGTTGCTGTTGGCGTTGGCGGTGGCGGCGGAGACTGCGGCCGAGGGGGCGAGACCTGATGAGCGAATGGCGTTTGTAGGATCCCGCATCCTGGCACTCTTGGTGGAGGTAGATGCACGCGGCTCCTGGGTTCCCACAGTGTCGCCTGGCTTCTGGAACAAGCTGCCGAACAACTTCCCCATGTCGAATGAAATATGAATGGTAAATCTGATATGTTTCTGAAGATGAAGGTGGAGAGAAGTATAAAGGTGGTATCGACAAAGAACTGGGAGGATCCTAGGTAAGGTTGAGATAGCGAGGCAGCCTGCAAAGGCCTACCTTACTGAGTAAGCTGGGAGAAGACAACAGCAGGAGGTGCGTGTAGGTTGGTGTCATCCACCTGCCAATACCAAGCAAGTACCTGAGGTGAGCGCGAGATGGTAGGAGAGATCCAGGTACCGATGTCCAATCACACCAGGTCAGGTCAGGAAAGGTGCTATTCCCAGGTGTTTCTGTGTTGTGGACGGTTTCGTCCAAGACGGGATGGGTTAGACTGGGCTTGGCGTGATGCTGTCCAGGAATCCCAGTCACTCACTAACCGCTGTATGGTCTTAGTGTGTGCTGTTCTGGGTTCTTTGGTGGGAGTGTGATAAATCGACCAGCAAGCTTGTTCGAGGGGCAGGATATATACTTCTAGTACATACTCCAAAAGGCGAGAAGGTTTATAGTGATCGAAGGGCAGGGCAATTTGGCTTTCGGAATGTCTCTTCACTTGAAAGGTTGTGAAATAGAATGGTCTGTCTGCAGCCCCGCGCTGGATGAGTCTTTGGTAGGCTTTGCGGTCAACCCAAGTAACTTATGCGAGGACTCCCACGCAGCCACGCATCGATGACTACCTAGGTAGGTACTCTTTTTTTGAGGCTTCTGGGTAGGCAGCTGTGCTAAGTGTGGTGATATCTGTACCGCAAACGAGGTTCTCAAATGGAAGTCAAATTTCAATTGGGGAAACCTTATTGTTGACTCAGGCCGCGTCGCTGCGACCTATCCGATGGTGTGTTGTTGGAGGTATAAATCGATGACAACTTAATAATGTACAAGCAATTGCTGTATGTAGTAGTTCCTGACGATTCAGTTCTCCGAGGATGTCGAAAGGGTAATCTGATAAGCAGTGCCAGCAAATGAACACTGCAAACTGACCAGTCTGAAGGGTTAGGGTGAATGGGTGGGTGATGTGTAGATGTTGTGAAAAGGATATCGATATGAACCCAAACTGGCGATGAAATTGAGCATGAAATAAACCCAACGATATGCCTACAGATATGGAAAATGAACAGTGGTTAGTCCTAATAAGTCACCACGAGGCGTCTCCTCGATTGGACGTTCTGTAATATAGCATCATATCGTTACATACTCAAGATTCGAAAGAGATATGACGAAGATACGACAGGGCAGCTCTCAGATGCCCACACAACCATTACGCCTCTAGCAAAAGTGACTTACCGCAACCTTTTTCCTAGTACAGATAAGAGATGAGCAAGGGATTATCGCCAATTCCTTGGTTAAGTTTCTCCAGCAGACACTTGGGTTCCAGACTTGTAGTTGATACTACTGAGATGGTTCATACCATATGACGATGTACTTAACCTACGCATCCATTGTCTCAACTGATCAACGGTTGATATGTGACACCGTATTTGATCCTGTTCTGGATTATCTTTACACTTTCTAAGCTTATAAAGTTCTCGGGGCAACAAGGGCGGGAGCGCGATAAGTCCCTTAGAGTAAAGGTAAAAGAGCAAGTGATGATGCAAGGTTCATGGTATTTGAATCGCAAAACGAAACATGACAGCCAATCAGTAGGATCAAGGATCAGGGGTTCACAAAGGGCGGAGGGGGAATTACCGAGAATGAGCAAAAAAGCATCAGCTGGTGTGGGGGGCTCCAACCTGGACATACATACTTCATCCTGTACTGGTGCCAGAGCAGCAAGCCCTTGCACCAGGCCTCGGGGAGCAAGAAAACATCAGACATTCATATAGGGTGTTAAAATAAACTTGGTAAAAGATAGCCCAAACTTATGCTAAGTTGCCCAAGTCTTTTTTGTCATTTAGGATCAAGGTCCTGAGTTTTCTCTCCTCCCCTAGCCAGGTTGTGTGGGTAGGCATTTAGTTGAGGCCAACGCACACGACAAACACTATATTCAACGCGGTGTCTCCTCAAACCCCTTTATCCAACAATATGAGTACCTAATACGCCTCGAACTGACTAGAATGATATTTGTAGTGTTTCTCTTACACCCGAATAGTCTATCCGGGATGGAAAGGTGTGGCACACAGTGGATTTTAGGCATTGAGTAGGTAGGTAGTGAGTGCATCTGGTGGACTAGAGCTGTCCTGCAAACGAAAATGGCAATATGCATGGATAGTTCGAGGAAATCTCTTTAGACTACGGTATCAGTTTTGAATCATTTACAGAATTGATTGGCAGATGAAAAGCATAATCAATGCCGTCTTTCACTACATCAAGGAGCCGGATTACACGACAGCCTCTTGTTATACATGGGTGCTACCTACATACCATAAAGCTGCCAAGTCGAGGCTCAACAAAGGGTACACATGGGCCACTAGTCCCTTGACCTACGAGTTCCAGCTATACTTGGTCCTACCGTTGCAACGCTGCTCAACACTACATATTCGGGCCTCACGGCGCTAATGTGTATGAACCTGTTCGAGGACTAGATCCCAGCTTACGAGTTACATGAGATTCATGTGGAAGCTGCGGCAAGCGCGTCGATACACCGCAGGTCTTCATATGATCTTCAGGAAAAGCATGTCCTAGCCCAGAACAGCAAGAATCCAGTCCCAATTCCAAAGTCTGATTGATCGTGGTCGGAGAAGTGGATATGGCTGATCAAGTCAATTCTGGCGTCAATTAGAGATGCAAAGACAAGAGGGAAACGGTTCCCACTCATCAAGCCACAAAACGTGGCATGTTAGTGCCCTCCCATGGATTGTTACTGGTCTCAAATGCCGACAAAGACCTCGGTCTGTTGAGCTCCTTATTAGACACTCAATCAATATTAAACCAGACTTCTGGTGGAGATGGCTGCTAAATAAGTTGGTTGGATCCACTCGTATTTTGCCAAGACATAGTGAACTACGCATTTGCTAATAAGGCAGTTTCAGTGTCGTATCAAACTATCGTGCTAGCTACACTACGAGGTCGAGAGATTGGTAGGTCGCGTTAGCAAGCAAGATGGCCGATTGCATCGTGGACCATCAGGAAAACGATTTCCATGTTCAATGATCAGCATCTGCAAACGCACAGGCAGTGACATCTAGTCTAGACTCGGTTTAGTATCACCCTTCCAAGACTGCAAGGCTGAACTGTAAGACATGCAGACATGGAATTAACAGCGGACCAATACCTCCTGGTTCGAGCCGTGTCAGTCCGCCAGCGTCTCTCGTAGGATTGGAAATTTCAGACAGCGATAGAAGTCTACCAGAAGAAGGGCTTCGTGTCTGTAGAGCAATGGCAAATGGGCAATGAGACCACAAACGGTCCTGACCTTGTCTGAGAGTTGGAATCAGACTTATACTGTTGCTGTGAGAGGGGCTACCAGGGCTGCTAACCGTCAACTTTACATCCGTCTCAGGGACCAAGAGAATAGATCGTGCATTACATCAAGTATTACAAGGCTAACGGGGAAAATGATATCGACATAAGAACATGCCCTTTTCGTTGGCTGAGAGGTGATCGCAAAGTTCCCTGCCTGTGTCCCTATGTCGCATTGTCCCGGGTTAACGGACAGCTGTCTTGAGTCAGGTAAGAAGATCGTGATCAGAGGAGATAATGGAGAAGAACTGCCGTCCGGGATAGAACAAATCGTCTCGTCGGTGGGTTCAACACGCGTATCCATAATTGAGAAACTCCTCTCATTGAATGTCGAGTTGTAATATCCACAGATGATCAGCCTTAAGAGTCGGCCGCTAAACGCACGCTTCCAGCCTCCTCGAGATAAAGGTGCCGTACTAGAGGCCTTGTGAAGCTACCTCATAGAAGGTTACAATCTATGCCTAGGTGCCGTCGGCGGAACCACCCCCGAGGTGAAGTATTCGATCAAGGCAGTGAGATAGTCATTAATGACATCTAGGCAGCCGCTCGTTGGCTGATAATCTGATGGCTTCGCTTGGGCCATTTAACAACTCCAAAAATCACCACCTTTTGACTAGTGCAAAGTATTTACCTGATCGATGGGTGCAATTGGCTTTTGGAGGGGAATATCATTCCTGTTTTGGGTTGTGGTTTCACGACTCGGGTTGACCTGGACTGTGCAGAGTCTTTACGTCAGAGCATGCATGGGTTCTGGGAGAGGTGCCAAGGGGATGCAAGTAAACTTGGGACCCTTGATCTAGGTGATGAAAAGGCCCAGGCAAATTTATTCGTCCCATACCAAGTCTTCAGACCGATTTATTTTGACACTCCAATTCAGCGCCAGAAGTTTTCTTGTTGCTCAAGGGGTGCATTAGGCCAAACTCTGATATCCCGGCCGAGATGTCGATGTAGATGTAGCGCAACGCTCTGATGCAACGTCAACGATCTAATTTCCGTTTACGCAAGTAATCACTGCACGTCTTTATGCATCATGTCAAAGCTCATGACTCTTGTCTGAGCTTGGACAGTAACGCCAACAACGTGGCATCAATGTGCTGGTGCTTGGTAACCTTCTGACAGCTGGAGGTCAATGCCAATGCCAATGCTTTCAGGTACGGACAGACCAATGCCAGATAGACCCAATTGAGTGGTAAGCGCGAGTCGAAAACGAGATCTCGTTACATTGTCATGAATGAATGTGCGTCCCGGCAATGGCTTGACGTGGGGATGTGATAGATCCTAAATTGGCTCCAATGCCAATGTGACAACGGTACCTATTCACAACCAGGATCAAGGGTCGGCAGATAGAGACGACGACGGTTGCGCCTTCCCTCATGGGAGCATTCGAATCACGAGCATCACTGCTGCCTGTCTCAATTTCAGGAATAACCCCAGGAACGCCATCACATGAAGACGGCCCATTCCATCTCAACGCTTCGCCGAAGTTACCATTACCGTTAACATGGGTCAGTAATCGATCTGTGACCTCCAGCCTTACCTACATACGAGTTACTTAGACTAGAACTTTGCAACATTTCCGCCACTATAGAAGCTTTCTCAGAGAAGCTTTCCGTGGAAGTATCGCAGAATATAGAATCGACAGACAAGCAAAATACCTTGACGGAAATTCCGTGGTTCGACAATGTACCAGCATTTGATCAGAACTTTCCATATGTGCACTTGATTCAAGCCACTAAGAGATTCCAGGCATTGTCGGATATCAATCCAGCAATGGCCTGGTCCGGGAAACTGGTGCCGCTGTCAACCTTCAATGCTGTCAAGTCCCGGCCGATCGCCCCCAAGTTGGCATCCTGCACAACAAAATGCAGCCAGGGTCTTTCCAAGCAGGCGGCTGGTGGTTCTCGTCATATAATGAATGGCACAAAGATGTATTTGGATGACGCCGATTCCCCAGTTGTTCGAGTGGTAAAGTTGTATCTTGATCACTTTCCAAGGAACGACGTCTGCGAGGCCTCAACCTTGATTCAATTACAGCTGAAATTGACTTTGAACGGAAATGCTGGTTCTAGATCAGCGGCGTATACCGAGCTTCGAGTCAGAACATTGTTGACTACCTAAGTCACAAGTTCACATCCAAGCACTCAGGAAGACCGCCATATTTGGCTTTCTTTCCGATGAACTAGAGGGTATCTTCGGCTGCTCTACAATTAATACTCCATCCCATGGCCGCCAGAGGGACGACAATTCATTCGTTGAGCCGCTTAACCCAAGCCCACATGGGCGCAGAACGGGATGTCTGGGCGGGTATTAGGTTCACTTGTGAATATCCCCGAGATCTCGTCGTGGGTTTTCAGCCGCCACTTATTCCACAAGCTAATAAATGAACTTATGAGCCCTGCCACAACACAGATCTAGCATCTCTTCACGCAGCGACCATGCCAGGTCTTCCGCCGAGACCAGTGACCCCTCAAGTCCGGCCGAAGGTTGAAGGGGGCTAGCTCTTTTCGAACTGTCATTGGGTCAATCGCCTAACTTCCATTCCACACAGAAGTCTCAGTGGTCAGCGGCATCGTAATCATCTTCGTTCTGATTCCTCGACATGTGAGGCACCACACAACGCCGTTGCCTTTCATGTGGATTGAGCTAGTAAAGCATGGCTGGGTAACGGGTCTTGACTAAAAAGGTCTCGGACTTGGCTTCCATGCAAGAATGCCCAAATGCTTTCGTTGACTTAAAAGGTTTAGCTTCAACATGTCTGCCCTTCAGTTGCGCTTCAGCAACGCCATTGAAACCACTGATCGTGTGATCCAAATATCGGTGTCAGTTGCGGATGGAAGCCATAGATGCAGCGAGAGAACAACGAGGCTCGATAGTGCCAAGTGTCTTGTAGGGAGGGATTCCTTGTTGAGCGTCAACCCGCAGGCTTAGCTTTCGATCAAGGCTTTGCTGCAGCTGAGTGACGGAAGGCAATCTCCACAGATCAACGTTGAAGCTCCAGTTCACTTCTAGATACCACAGAAAATCGGGATCGGACAGCAACGACTCAGTTGAACTGCTTGCAGAAACCATCTCTGAATGTTTTGCGTATACTGTTTCTTCGTCGTTCAGAATACGGTACTCCCGTATCTTGCAATTATTTATTCTGCCATGTTGCCTTAATCAACAGTCTTGATGTAGGTGATGAGGCTTTCAGCAACTTCGGACTCATTGCAGATAGCAAGGATACTTACTTAGCTGGAGTTCGAGTGATTGCTCCCAGGTATAACCGACGTCATCGCCGGTCATTGCTCCAAGTATGGTCCTCCGACCTCGCATTGCTTTTGACATTGAACATGGGAATGGCGCAAATCGATAACAGCTTGACATCGTAATGATAGCCTCCGCGCGTAAATGGATGGTCCCCGAAAGCATCGGGTTCTTGAAATTGCACTATGAAAAGCAGTGATGTCATTATAGTGCCCAGAGGGAACCTACAAGCTAAGGATATTTGTTGATCAGCATACCTGGGAGCCATTTCAAGCAGGTCGATACGATACTGGCAGGCAATTACATCAGGATATGTCGGTCCCAGGCCTGACTAAACGAGGGGATCATAGTAATCGCACGAGTCGGTATGTCGAAATGCCATCAATGCTCCAGAATGCAACTGCCCATCCTGGTCAGCCCGTCAGTAACGTGGCTTGGTGTGATCTACTGGGGGCGGCTAGTTGTGATGCCATGCATCCAAGCGAGGTCGGCGGGAGGCTTAGGATGGACATGTTAGTGTTCTTCCAGTCACTCAGATAAGATCGGATCACAAACTCCAGCATCGCAGATCTTGCCCAAAGAAAGGCTGCCGAGGTCAGAGAGGGTGTATGCCGAAGGAGCCTAGTCTGAAGCTACAGTTGTGTCCTTCTTTGGTGCATTGATCAAAGATTCTGGAGTATCAGCTCATCGTATGCAGGGCACGATATGGTATTGGTCTCGTTTGAAGGATAGCAGAACATGGTATGGGGGTTGTTCTGGTCTATCTTCAGCCCCAGAAGCCTTGGGTTTGAGCATAGTCATCATCGAATATCGAAGTCATCATGGATACGCTGGTTTCGGAAAGAATTTATCTCTAGCCAGGTTAGCCCTGAACAGCTGCCTAGGACCCTCAATGAACTCACTTTGCAGTGGTGGAGTTACTCCTGGTCTGGTCTTGACTCGATAGTATAATCCTCTTATTCGGGTCCGATCACGAGGCCTGTCCTACATATTGAACCGATATGATTCGCGAATACACGAGAGTGACATGGTATCCGGTCTAGGACAGATGTGAAGAGGTGGTAAACACTTAGGTTGAGTGTGCGAATATGGGCCAGTCCTAAGCCGCTTGAGTTGCCATTACGTTCATGGTAGGACCAAACTTGTCCTTTTCTTCTGTCTCTTTCCATAAGTATACTACCAAGCTTTACCTACTTAGGTGGGATTATGGAGTTATAAGTGTTTTAATGCTATCCGATGATAGTTGATACACATGTAGAGCATTGTGTAGTAGGCACGACAGAGTAAGCTCAATTGAAGCTGGTACTCGAGACTTTTGGTCCGCATATTTATCATGTATTTGTGACAAATGAATCAAATTCTCGAGGTGCGTGGACCAGAAATGAGATAGTTGATGCGGACAATATCACTTGGTAGTCCCATTCTTGACTTATATGATACCAATAGATTCGAATATGCTGCATGTCAACACACCTCATTCGAAAATGTCGACACATGCTTGGCTGTTTTTGATAAATCAAACGGGGTTTACTGTATTTACCGAGACAATCTCTTTTTACTCGGCTGACTATCGTTCGAGAGTCGACAGATCAGCTTTGCACTTTACCTTGAGACCATAGAATCGCAAAACGGTCCCGGGTAGGTAAGTAAAGTGGCATATACTGATACTAGCCAATCATACCTGACCAAGGATTGCCAATGATCAAGGGTTCATCATTCCCGGAACATTCCCTAAGTCAGGCCATGAGGCGTTTCGTTTCTCGGGGCGCTCCGACCTGGCGTGAAGCGAGACATGAGGCGAGACAAAACCGTGTGGCTCATCCAGATGCGGATCTAGACGGCGACCTCACATAAGCATCCCGAGTTAGGAACGCCGGTAACCCGTAGAACCTGGCATAGCCCGACGACCCGAGAATTGGCGAAAACCAAAGTCGTTGCTTACCGATAGAGATCTTGTTTGACGTCGGGACTTCAACGGTGATGCCGAGATGCCAACCGCGGGTTGATTAAATGATCTCGAAGACCCCTGGTTCATTGTGTAGGGTGGAGGTTTAGCGCCATGAGATCGGATTGAGTGCGGCATCGCGTTTACGCAACTGAACATTGTTATGCCGCTTTCACCGCAGGACGCCGCCATCATTGCCGCTGCTTTTGGAAGCTAGTCACGGCATTCTGCGGCATAACTGAGCTTTGCTTGATATTTAAGATACTATGTGCTGCCATGCCCTTTTAGGGCTCTCGCGGGCGATGCAGGGACGTAAACCGCTGGAGATGGAGAGCAGTGGTCGGCCGTCCGTCTGGTTTGCCATCTATCATGGCTCTGTATGAAAGACATCCCGATGATGGCATGTTTTGCATTACAACAACAGATTGGGGGGCTTGCTTCCGGGGCAGCCGATACCCAGCTCTGTAATATTAGCAATCAGATCGCTCAATTCACTCGAATATTGGCAAAGATTGTCCCAAACCCATCTCTCGCTGTAGCATATCCTCGGAGTTCTCTACTTACAAGCAGTTTCGTTTGAATTCGAAGCCCATTAGGCGACTCGGGCATAGTTCGGTGACTGTTTGCGCCGGACGGGTTCGGAAGAAACTGACATCATCTACCGTCATGCAAGAAAAACGGTACGATCGGCCATGAAAATTTGGTTGCCATTTATATACCAGAGGATAAGTAAGACGGGATCTAAGATACTCATCAGTTACAGAAAACACCATCCCCCCCAGATCGCAAAATTGACGAATTTATCACGACACTAGAACATCAACCTCACCTCACGTTTACGACATCTTCCAGGTACTGAAACTCAGCATCCTCTCAGTTGACCCACCCTGGGCTTAAACCACGCTGCAACCCACCTCGTTCGGTTTCTTATCATACCACCACCACCTTCGCTCGGGCTGAAAACAAAACACCGTAAACTATTGCGCCCTGAGAGAAATCCCGTCTCTACAAATTCGCAGCCTCTCCCACGACCGTCTTTCCCCTCAATCCCAGTCCAACCCTAAATCGCAATCATGAAGATTCTCACAAAGGAAGAAGAGGAGGCGCACTACTCAGCTGTCGTCAAGGGCGGTCTCATCGGAGGTGGTCTTGGTCTTGCTGTTGGTGTTGGAGGCGTCATGTTTGCTTCAAGGCGATACCCTGCTTTCCGCGGCCTCACAATCCCCTTCAGAACGTTCCTCGTCACATCCGCCGGCACATTTGGCGCCATTATCAACGCCGATCGCTGGTCCATGGATTTCCAGAAGAAGCAGAACCCCATGAACTTTTACGAGGACCAGACCCAGCGCGCCCAGCAGGTTGTTCGCGAGAACCAGACGACCTGGGAGCGCTTCATGGAGTACGGCAAGGAGAACCGCTACTCTATCGTATTTGTCTCATGGCTCGCATCCATGGGTGTCGCGTTCGCGCTCGTGAGCCGTTCACCCATGAACACAGCCAACAAGGTCGTACAGGCCCGTGTGTATGCTCAGGGCCTGACCCTCGCTGTTCTCATCATCTCAGCTGTCTTTGAGATGAACGACGCCAAGAAGGGTGAGGGTCGCTGGCAGACCGTCATGGTCGTCGATCCCGAGGACCCAGAGCACAAGCGACTTATCGAGAAGAAGATCCACAAGGAGGAGTATGAGGGCCAAGACCTCTGGAAGGGTAAGTTGCATTTGAGATCTTGCAGAAAACGTTTACGTGACTAACTGAGCTAATAGATATGGTCGCTGCTGAGGAGCGACGATTGGCCGCTAAGAAGCAAGCCGAGAACAAGGCTTAAAACAAACTCTACAAAATTCCTCGATACAAATTACCTTCAAATTCATCACTAATACTACGCCGAGCACAAGTCTCCAAGCGCCGGAGGAAATTGGAAATTGTATATTTGTTACCAACAAACCGAAGTTTCATGAGCCAATGAGCCGGGATGGAAAAGAAGTGGCTATTATCAACTGGGACAGTCGTTGAAGCAAAACTGCCTTTGTGTTTGTCTTTTCTATGCGCATAGAGCGGGTGGGATGGTTCCTTGGAGTTACAACCTCTTAAAAAAATTGGTCTGGAACATGTTTAGCTGGGGGTTGAATTGCATCCAATGTATCATATGTAACCATGACAGCAAGAATCAAGCAAGCATCGTTATCTCAAGCGTACATATATACAGAAGACATATTAAGATGACCCAGCATCTTATTTTCTAGACTAAGTTAACAAAGATCTGCACCACCGACTCCCTGCTAGCCCTCTTTGAAGGGTCCATTTACCATCCTAGAACAACAAACTGATGATCAAACACACTAATATATCCAAAGGAGCTGTATTAGCTCATATCTCTAAACCTCGATGGTAAAATGGCTAATTTGCGAATAGTATGCATGCACAGCTAGCTCTAAAAGCATAACATCGCCATACACCTCGCTTCCATCGAAACCTCCAATGACAATGAGACGGCTATCATACAGCACTGTCCCGTGATAGCCACGACCTGAAGGTGCTTTGCCGTAGACCCGGCGTCTATCCCATGTCATTGTTACCAAGTTCAAAAGCAGCACATCATTCGAGTATTCGCTTCCGTCGTGGCCTCCAATGACAAAAAGATAGGAGCCGACTATTGTGGCCGTGTGCGATAAACGGCGGAAAGCAACGGGGATAGGGACTGCTCTCCATAACTGGGCGTCAACGTCGTAAACCCATACATCGTCGAAACATTCGCCGCCATCAGAGCCTCCAAAAATGATGAGTTTGCTGCCCACCATGTTGGCAGTGTGGTAGCCCCTTGCCTTGGGACGATAGTCTTTTGACCCAGGACTTGACTTATCTGAACTTGACACTAACCGCCATGACATTTTGTTGACATCGGCAACATCTAACCGCCATATATCATTTAGAGCCCGGACCCCATCGCCGCCGCCGAACACGTATATACCATTCTTGTATAAACAGGCAGTATGCGCTCTCCGCTTCGATGGCATCTTATCTCCTATAATACGGGGCTTTGTCCACCGGAAGTTTGTTGTATCCAGGACATAGACATCGTTATAATACTCCGGGCCGTCACCTCCGCCAAACACGATGAGTTTCTTGCCTACGGCAGTACATGTCATGGCTCTCAGAGGAACAGGTATATCACCAACGACATAAGGTATAGACCAATGGAAAGAATCGGCATCCAGCACGTAGAGATCATTGAAGCATGTTCTCGAGTCACAGCCGCCGAATACATAAACGTTCGAGCCAATGATTGTTGTTGTGTGTGCTCGTAATGAGGTGTGAGGAGCGCCCGACACGGGTGCCTTGGACCAGTACATGCCAGATGCTGGAGCCACGTCGACGTTTGGGGCCGTCCGGGGATCTGGAAGCGACGGAAACGCAGTGTACTCGTCTTGTGATATCCGAGATCGATGCGATGCATACCGAGCGGTCGCTTGTGCAGTCGTTCGGCTCGTTATGGCGGATGTCGATCGTGAAGCGGTTGGTCGCCGATTATGTCGATCTCCCTCACTTGAGGCATCGCCAGCGCTTGTTGAGATTGAATGCGGTGGTTTGTGGGCTGGTCTTGAGGTGGAAGCTCCTTGCGGAGCGGTCTGTGATGCGGATTGAGAGCGCTGCCGGATAGAAAGATCTGAAGGCTTTCGACGATTTGCTTGTATGCTTTTGCTGGCAAGATGACCTGGTGTATGGCTTCTGGGTAGGGGCATCTGATCGCTAGACTCATCGTCATCGTCGGAATCGTCGTCAACAAAGGTCGGCCGTGTGGCTGTGGGAGCTGGAGCAGGTGATCGTTGTTGCTGTTGTTGAATGCTCTTCGCCTTAAGATGCGACTTATCGGGGGACCTCCTCGGATCCGCCATGACTGCGTAGGTTCTTCTTCATTGCCTTCCTAGACAAGACGTCGAGCTTGAGACTTGAACCGTTCGAGGTGGGGGAAAGGTGGAATGAGTGAGAGCAGAGAAGCGGGCGAAAAGGAACGAACAATATGCAATTAAAAGCAGGCAGCTGAAGCCAAAGTCAATTGGCGATTTGCCAAGGGCGCAAAGTGAAGGGAGGGGCAGGCGAGCCGGTGATGGTGATAGTATGTAAATGATGTCGAAGTGTAGGGATCGTGCAACGTTGGAGCTGGGGTTGAGTTGAGCATAGGTAGGTCCAGTCGTCCTGAGTCGAAGTACCTGAGTACCTCCTAGCTTTGTTGTCGTCGATTCTGGAACACTTTTAGCGAAGCCTGGCCCCTGTGACCAAGTGCGGAGATGAGGCTCTCAGGCGTCTAACGTATCTGATACATTCGACCTCTCACTGACCTCATAGCACATAAGACCTAGAAATACGGAGTAGGTCTAGGGGAACTTAGTGCAGTTTTAGTTACACCAACAATCGAGGTTTTTTCCCTAGGTACAGTATGCTTGCACTTGAAAGCCGAACTCGGTTTTGACGACTGATCTTTTCATCAGCTGGCACCGAGCGAGCACTGTCAAAAAACAATCACTCATTCATTTGTGTATAGCAGTGCAAGAGGTAAGGCACTTTTCCTCACGCACTGTAACACCGGGAAAAAGCATTGCATTTCTCTCCTTCCCTTCCTGCCTTTCTCTCTTTTCCTCTCTTACACTCACTCACCCCCCTCATAAATCTTTTTACGTATTCTTCACAGCGAATTTATGAACTCATAATTTTCTCTCAACACATGCATTGTCCCAGAAACTGACCATTCTCAGCCTTTCTTGCAATGAGTGAGCAACACGACGCTCAGATGGATGGCGTCTCCCCAGGCAATGCTCACGCAGAACTTGCAGCGGATGCCAGCAATATTACAACCTCGACAAAGGATGAAGAGCGGGCTTCGAAGAGAGTTAAGGTGAACGATTCGATCGCGTCTCAGTCTGTTCCGGGAGAGGATTTGCACGATGCACCAGCTCCCAAGGAGAACCAGCAATCCACAAGTGGCGACAAGGAGAATGAGGTCCCGAGACCACAGTCGGACTCCAAGACTGAGTACGTTGACGGACGCAGCAATGGAGTTGCTCCTATCAAGAAAGAGTGAGAAGCCCACCGTAGACCCGTGCTAGAGACACACTGACAAGTCAAAGGTATCTTGTTGACATGTCAACTCAGAAAGATGCGTCCCAAGATGCTGTGAACGACGATGACGCAGCTGAGGCACGCGGTACTGCTGAAGGAAATGCTGAGAATGGCGATCGAAAACCAGGCAAGGGCAGAAAAGAAAAGAAGAAGAAAGGCCAGAACACAGAACGTGATTTCGGCAAATTCGATGATGCCTTTCGTCTTTGCAACAGTCGAGCGTTCTATCCCGAGTTTTCTCCCAGAGAATGCAAGTTTGGTGATCGATGCAGACTCTGCCATGATATTCGAAAGTATCTTGAGGAAGGCCGCCGAGGTGATGTTGAGACTTTCGAAGGCAAATGCCCCGTGTTCGAGGCTCATGGTCACTGCCCCTCAGGCTGGAAGTGCCGCTTTGTTAAGAGCCACATGAAGGAAATCGAGCACGAGGACGGCCGAAAAGAGCTGGTGCTCATAAGCACTTCAGCAGATGGCGGCGAGAACGGTGAGCCTAAAGATGAAGGGTCCGAGGAGCAGCGACCTGCTATTTTCAACGTCGTCAGCATGGATAAGAAGATTGACCTCAACCGCAAGCGGACCGACTTTACACGATCTGACCAGTACATCACTTGGCTCAATAACGAAGCCAAGCTGAGTGAGGAGTTTATGAATCGTCGCAAGAATCAGTCCACCGAGGGCATCGAAGATCTACGCGCCCGCTTTGTCGACCCCCCCTTTAAGCCTTCTGAGAAGCGCCGTCTCTATTTTGGCCCAGAGACCCCAACCCTGGCACCTCTCACCACCCAAGGAAACTTGCCCTTCCGTCGACTCTGCGTTGAGCTTGGAGCCCAGCTCACATACTCGGAGATGGCGTTGAGTATGCCTCTCATCCAGGGAACGAAGGCTGACTGGACACTTCTAAAGGTTCATGAGTCAGAGCTCTCACCTCCCAAGTTTAACCCAGGCTCTGTCCCCATCTTTGATGACTACGACCACTCCAAGGATATCAAGTTCGGTGCCCAGATCTCCGGAAACAACCACTGGGTCGTTACCAAGGCTGCTGACGTCCTGAATCGTTATTGCCCTCACCTTCGCCTCATCGATTTGAACTGCGGTTGTCCGATTGATATGGTCTTCAAATCTGGCGGTGGATCGGCGCTTCTCGAAAACTCAGGCAAGTTGGAACGTATGATTCGAGGGATGAACGCTGTGTCAGGGGAGGTCCCTATCACTGCCAAGATCCGCACTGGTATCCGAAACTCCCGTCCTACAGCCACTCAGCTTATCGGAAAACTGGCTTTTGGTGCCCGAGAGCACCGAGAACGACTTGGTGCTCCTGGATGTGCGGCCCTGACGCTTCATGGACGCAGCCGTGAGCAGCGATACACCAAGAAGGCCGATTGGGGCTACATCAGCGAGTGCGCCGCGCTCATCAAGACTTACAACAAGCAGAAGGACAGCCTGACTGACACCATCGCTGAGCCCGATGCCAGCAGCCTCCCTAATGCCAAGGATGGCCGCATGTACTTCCTCGGCAACGGTGACTGCTACTCGCACACCGAGTACTATGAGCACATTGAGAAGGCTCGTGTTGATACCGTCATGATTGGTCGTGGAGCCCTCATCAAGCCTTGGCTCTTTGAGGAGATTGAGAAGGGCCAGTATCTCGACAAGTCATCCAGCGAGCGTCTCCGCTACATCGAGAAGTTTGTGCGCTATGGCCTTGACGCC